ACTCTGAAAATTAATTTAAATGTATGTCAATTAAATCTAATTTAATTGCATTCCTTATCTTTTGTTGAATTATTCGAGATTGTTTTTCACTTTCTCACCGCACTACGTACTTACGAAGTGAAGTATTGTAAGGCTGACGTGGAATTTGGCAATTGTTCATCCGCAAAACTCGTATCGAGGGACTCTGATCTCGAAAAAGTGGATAAATATTTACCCTTAATGTAGTACTTCTTCTAATACGACGTATACTCAAGATTGCACGTCTTGTGGGGCGTTGATACTGAAAAATTGGTTGACGATCCGTCTCTCTGACTAGTCAACCAATAATGACTAGTGCCTAAACCGTTCAGACGATTTACTCCGAAACTCATATTCTCCCCTTCATACGGCCGAGGTTCATTGAGTTTGAAACGCACATTTGGATTTTTGGTGGCTCTTCTGCTCCCAACACAATGCCTTAACAAAATTTGTTCTGTATTTTTTCTCAAATTTTGCTTATATAAATGGTGCAGATCTCGATTCATTTAATTCTGTTTTCGAAAATTGCAAAATATTAACATAGGAAAACTTCAGTTTTGATAAGGGTTTTTCTCTTAATGAAATCTGTTCTAAAAATTTAGACCTTTAAATAATTTCATGTACAATTTAAAAAAAACAGGCTCCGCATAGTGTATGAATTTTGCATAAAGTAAAGGCGATTTAAAATTTTGTTCCTCAAAAAACGGTTCAATTTTTCTTTAACATTTTCTCGAATTGAGAGAAGTACGCTTATAAAAGTGGCACAAATTGTAGTTTCGTTAAATGCTCTGAATTTTTGCAAATTGAAAAAGTTATAAATACGGCAAGAAAATAGGTGCTGTTGTAGCACCACTAGTGTTCTTTTTTACCTCCCTGGCCTGCAATCCTTCATGTCCGTGCTTTAATTCGGCCCTATTCAAGTCTACCATTAATAACTGTCCCAGCAACAAACAGTCTGGGAAGCTATATTAGAGCAAGATATAAAAATTCTGTATGCAGAGAAACGGCATCCAGTCAATCTGATATTAAAATATCGACAAAAACTATAAAAAGCAATCAGTGATTGCCATTTTCTAGTGCAATCCACTCTCCAGTTAAAGAATATATGAAAGGGATTAGCTTTCGCTAAAAATCAAAGAGAAAAAAAAGTCCGCGAGGAATAAATGATAGTATTTCTCTTTGCCTGTACAGAAGGGTGTATTTTGTTTCGCCGCTACAGTATATTAATAATTCACAGACCGCAAAGGAACAGAAATTCAATTCGTCGCGCACAAACACCATTGTATAGTTAGTGTAAACGTATATAGCTGAAAACCTTTGATGTAAAAGTATCACAGTGGCAGAGCCGAGGACATATAGAGAACAAATACTTCAAGAGGAGTAATAACGAAAGAAGGAGAAAAGGAACCGAGAAAAAATGAAGTTGGAAGAATGCCAGGAACACGCGTTTGACAAACCTTCAAGATTTTTATCGGAAAAAGTTGTTGAAACTTTAAATAGATTAGTGCTAATTATTAATATATATATGAGAACCTATTATCTACTCTAATCCTGAATATTGGCACTATCACCTGAACAGTGATCATCCCACCCCAGATTTTAAAGTTTCCATTTTGTACGAAGAGGCAACTGAAATCGGCATCCTCGAAATTACACCAATATAACCTTAAGAATACCAAACAAAAATGGAATCTCAACCAAGCTAATAGTTCTCAATGCAACAGCAAAACCTGGACTCGCTGTAAGGTAATGTTCCAAGCCAAAATGCCGCAGGGCAGTCTTAAGTGTCCTGATGACACCTTGCCTAACGAAACAAAAATGTCTAACCCAGAACCTAAACAAGCCAAAATAGACATCACATCCCAGTTTATTTATAATCACTGAATTGTGAGCCACATCCCAACAATTAAAATAGATTTTCTTATATTAATGCAACCTCGCGAAAGTGTCAGAGCCAAGACAAAAAGAAAGTAACAAACAGCTTTACACTTCAGTTCATAAATCACAGAGTAAAAATACAATCAAAGAAAATCATTGACTTCAGAGACGTTACTTAATATCATATTAGCACAGAAACACAATTTCATACATACCTAGTAAATACGGAATTCTCAGTCGCATTCACAAACCTACACATGTCAGTCAACGAAGATGAAATCTACAATGAACTGAAAGAGAAACATCCGTCACTCATTAAAGTTACTAGACTCCGAAAAGGTAACAACCTTATTCGAGTTAACAGCAGCCGAATTTAACTGGGAAGAAAATCAAGAAACTCTTTTAGAAAGAAGACAAATTTGTAACCTCATAATAAAAGCGGAATGGAGAAGAAAACCTGAAGGTCCCATTCAATGCATGAGATATTTAGATTTTGAGCGAGGAAAAAACAACTGTAACCATAAAAATAGCATGCATTTACTGGTGCAAAAACCATTATTCTGCAACTTGCATCATAAAAATGAATCACACACTTGCAAAACTGTAAAGGAAACCACAGAGCAGACCTCAGAACAGAAGAAAACCCCATATTATTATTATAATAAATAAATAAGTAAATAAATAAATAAATAAATAAATAAATAAATCAGCCCAAACCTCAAAAATTCCAAATCAGAACTAGAATCAATGTCTCCAATAGCACCACTCAAAATATTCACACTATCTTCCCCATTTTGGCAAACACTCAAAACATCCCAAGATTTACAGATATATACAGCACAAAATAATAATCATAATAATAAGCCTTAAAGTCTAAATGCTCCAGCACACTCAAACGCAAATAACTTTCTCAACTGCCCGGCCAATACAATTGCTACTCAAATAATTAATATAATCAACTCAATTATTCGCTCAATAATAAATAACATTCAATCTTCCGGCTCCGCATACATTAATAACAATTATGCCACAAACACAAATTAATACAATTACCATATTCAATTGGATAGCTAATGGAATAATCAATAAAATCAATGAACTAAATTGTTTCATCCCAGATTAAAAAAATTGGCATTGCATGTATAACCGAATCAGTCTAAACAACAGTGCAAAATGCAGCCTACTAGATTATAAAATGAACAGAACAGACAGAACAAATACTGATGAAGAGGAGTAATGATAATAATAAAATGCACAATACAATGCTATTAAATCATACTCTCACCAACTCTTGTATTGAAATAGACGACATAAAGTTTACTAATAATAACAATCTGGAAACTACATTAATAGTAGCATACCTGTCCCCCCAATGTGAAAATCCAACACACCAATTTCATTTATATAATTTATTAATACACCTCAACAACACTCTTGGGTGATTTTAATGCGAAACTCACACAGTGGGGTTCTAAAATCAATAGCGAAGCAGGGACACAACTACTACAATTAATAAACAATAATGTGAATATCATAATCCCCAATGCGCCAACCTACAACCCATATGATCAGTCTAGGAACCTAGACGGATTATACATAGATATAACGAAAATACAAGATTCTTGCAGGGTCACAATCAAACAACTCCGTAAAGAAATTCAAATAAAACTAATCATTCATCATATCACTAACTTATCCCATAATTTTTATAACAATGCGTGATCAATTCCGCAACTGCCCCAATACAACCTAGGCAAATCAGCCAGAAGCACCACCAGAATAAACTAATTGTGCTACAAAGCACATTATTTCTCGCAATGTTTCTAAACGCTCAGCAATATTGTATTGATATGAATACTACATTGAACAATTGATTTGATGTGACATACGTTCTACAAATACGACAAGAGAGTTGTAAACTTGTTTAAAATTTCAAAATACAAATATGACATACAGACACTTTCATCTTATTTAGTATCTTAAAAAAATGAATATGTGAGTAGAAATGCTTCAAATGATTTCCAAAAAAGTTTCTAAAATTTTAATAGCTTTCTGCGGCAACAGATTTTTGTGGCAAATGATTATCCCGGATCCCTCTGTGAAAAGTTTACAATGTTAAACTGAACCGTGTATTCTACGCATAATAATAAATATGTGCAAAAAAATCCAAACCTAGGTCATACGTACAATCCGAATTAATCAATAATTCTTTCTCCTCAGTCTCCATCGAGAGTACATTGAGTAGATAACGCAGAAAATAGACACAAAGAATATAATTTGTCAAATGAGACACAGAAGAAAGGCGAGGCAATCCCGCTTTCACTGATTTAAATCGAATTATGTTTTAGACCACCGATTGAAATATTTTTTTTACAAATTGTCAAAATTAATTTTTATTTTGCTAAGTTAATTTCAAAGAACTAAAAATTTTGAAACATATTCAGAACGTCGGATGTACATAATACGGACACGTGGCTAAAAAAAATATTCAGAACGATTGATTAACTATATTTGAAGATCAACACAGCAATGAAGAACTTTTAGAGATTATTTAAAGGCTTCAAATGTTTGTATATACGTTTGAGAGTATTTTCAATTCTCAAACGAGATATTCTTCGAAATGAAACGTGCTCCTACCGTGATAAGGAATCAACTGGTTTGCCAAGCCTCCTGAGTCATACCGTAGCGTAGAGGATAAATAGTCTTTCCCCTCTCTATATCGTATGAAATTACTATTTGGTAAATTATAAAGATTAGGGTTTGTATTTCGTTTTTTATTAATACAATCAGCAACAGTCGATTATTATTTCAGCCAGTGTCTACTGAGTATGCTTAAAAACAAGTGTGAACGAGAAGTTCATGGCAAACATGTTTTAAAAATAACTCTATGCGTAAATGCATTCTTAAAACACGTACTGAAGTAATAAAATGGGACACATAGAATTATTTCCTTAATTAAAACTAAGGAAGACTTTAAATACATCATGTTGCGTATTTAGGTCTGGTTTAAACAAAGATCCCATTTGAATAAAAATGAATTTGAGAAACCGGTTTCGGTTGATCCGCACTTGAGGCCGAGGGGCGCGGCATCGTTGCCCACTCACCTGTCGCAGCTTCGACATGGCGTCGGACGAGATGAAATCTCCCTTTCGGAAGTGGCACACGAAGCACATCACTTGGTACTGGCTCTGGCCCCGCTCCTCCTCGCCCAGCACCAGCGCCTTCAGGATCTGCACGTCCTGCGAACGAGAACACACTCGTAACAGTGCACGGCGCCACTTCAACACTGGACTATTTTCCACTTATTACTAGCAATAAACACTACACAATGCGTCACGGCGTGAGACGTATCGGCATTTCCACCCCCAAAACAAAGGAGGGACCACCTCAGCGAAGATACCGCGCCGCAGCCT